AATAGGTTGTCATACACATAAATGACACTTGAATGGGGAACACCAATTTTTTCCATTTACTTTTCAACTTACTTGATATTAAGCACATATGATAATTTAAGAATAACTAAAAAAAACCTTATGTTTAATTCTGTAATGTTTTCTCTGCTGTGGAGGTCCACACAAGGTCATCTCTCTCATGAAGTACTTCACCAAAGAAGACAAATTTCAAGAAGAGGCCTCTATCCTCAGTTTCATCTTTTTGTATTGCCACAGCAATCCAAAGTTTACTCATTACATGACTGAAGAGGAGGGTTGACAGTGACCAAACAGCCATTTTGTCTCAATAAAGAAATTAAATGTCCCTAATTAGTAGGCCTTTGCAAGCTTTTCTGTCAATTTCTGTAATAGGAAACTCTGTCTGCCCTAATAGAAAAACGTAGTACAGGTTGAGCTTTCCCTCTTTAAGATATAATTTCCTCAAGGCTTTAACCCTTTGTTAGGACAGACAGTTCTTCTCATCTACAAGTTTACAAGCTATAATGAAATCTGCCAGCACCGTACAGACAGGGTTAATTAGGGGAAACAAAACTCCTCTCATCCCGCCAGACAGTGAGAACTAAGCAGGATTTTTCAGTCCTGGAGTTAGTACAAAGAACATTTAAAAAAGATAAGCTCCAATTTTTTTATTTTAAGTTATGGTATATAACAGTGACGTGCCGTCCCTTCTGTGCTGGGTGAGGCATCCCCCAGCCCCGCAGAAGCTCCACCGCCCCATCCTGTTGACACCCCATCCCACAGAAGCCCTGTCCCCAGCTCGGTAACCAAGCTGTGTGGGAAGGAGGAAGGGAGGAGACAGGGAGGAGCCTCCCTCTCTGACACTTGCTCGTCACTGGTGAGCCATCGAGATGGATGTCCTCACTGTTTTTTTTTTTGATTGGACAGCTTGGACCAATGGTGCTTTGCTATTGGTCCAAGCCATCCACAGAGCTCATGCCTCTAACACAGTGTAGAGGCTGTGACAGCTCTGGCCTCACCAAGTTAGGTTACACCAGCAGTGGGGAAGCCCGATGTTGTGTAACCTAACTACCTGTCAAAAGCCGGATGCAGCACCACCTGTAATTAACAAGCAGCGCTCCGTCCATGACAGATTACACAGTGGGGAGGCTTCCCCTGCTGTGTAACCTGTTAGAAGCCGATCTGAATGGAGAAAAAGCTGTCAGCTTCAGACTTGAAACTGACAGCTTTTTCCTGCATAATACTAGGTGAGGCTCTGCTTCCCCTGCCTCCCCTGACCACACGTCCCTGGTATATAATTGGGAAAATGTAACAAATATAAAGCAGGTGTTACCTCAATTTGGATGCGAAAGTGGAAATACACTTTAAAGTGGAATTCCATCCAAAACTCTTTTTTCAGTTTGGATTGAATGGGAAAGGGTTAGAACTTGGGATGGTCTGACATTTCACCACCAAAACATATCAGCTGAAAATGGCATTAGTGCAGGCCTAGTTTCTCTCCTCCCCATTGGGCACTGCTCTGTGTCCCCTCTGATACAGCGTGACGTCCAGCATGGAGGAGAGAAACTGTCAGGAGGCCGAAAGGTGCGGGGGAGGAGAGCGATGTGAGCGGCTGGTGTGTCACAGAAGGCCAGGCTCTCCTCCCACACCGCCCTGCTTGGCTGTTACAGATCAGGAGAGCGGTGTGGGGGTGGAGGCAACTATCAGCTGTCATAGGAGGCCGGGTGGTGCAGGGGAAGAGTCAGCTGTCACAGGACACCGAGCTCTCCTCCCGTACCGTCGGCTCAGCCTCCTGTGACAGCGAGTCAGGATGGAAAGCGGGTACAAGCACTCAGCGATCAGCTGATCGCTGACTGGTTGTAAATAATTGAGGACAGAATATGTTGACTGTGTCCTCAAATATGAATGAATGGGAAGTAATCTACATCACCTCCTGTTCATTCATAATTGTGAATATAGTTAACATACTATACCCCATACTATCCCCATAACTACAAGTTATGAATGAACAGGAACATTCAGTATAGAGGATTCCTGTTTATTAAAACAGGGGCTGCAGAAAAAGAGATTGAGGACTCTGTGTCCTCAATCTCTTTTTCTATTTTAAAAGGGAAATATATAAAGAAAAAGTTTAGAAAAAATAAATATAAATGTAATATTTACAAAAAAATTTAAAAGGTTAGCAAAAAGAAGAATTTTTGGTTTCCGCATAAAATCTTTTTTTTTTCAGTTTTTTTTCAAAATTTAATTATGGTGCACTTCTAGTTAGAAACTCTGCGAGGTTTCTATTGTATACTTTTGAGCCAATTTTCCTTCGCTTCCTGTCCAGAAGACACAGGAAGTGAAAGGAAAGCCCACCTTTAAAAGTTGTGACAAGAACAGGTGTCCTCAGTGGAAGATTTAACACCACTTCTTATTTTAGTGACATCTCTAACATTTTGGATTTCCCCACACTTCGCATCCCAGTGAGAAGAACAAATAGTGAGGGAGAATCTACCCAACAGACAGACAGACAGAGGGTTTAACCCTTACACAACCGTTTGGCTGGATCCACTTTAATTATCACAGCGCTTGGAGAACTGTTTATGTTGTTCATGGCTACCTATTAAAATCCTTTTATTTTCAAACCTGCGCTGTTTTAAATAATTTATTTGAAGACCGGAAATGTTAAGATAATGGAGGTACCAGGAAGGGGAAAATAACAGATGGCATAATTAGATGTATACTTCTAACGCCACCCATAAATGCATCATTACCAAACACACCAATATATTTTTGTTTTAGAAAAAAACAGTGATGAAATAAATCTTTGAATCTCTATCATTACACATATTAGGTCTGTTGTGACCAAGAACATGAGAATATACGTCAAAGAAAGCTTTTAGTCCTGTTCCATAGCAGGTCATGATGAGTTGGCAATTGTATCTTTTGTAAAATAACTGTAACTGTCACAGGGATTACCTGGAAGTAAATGTGTCAAATCTGATTCATGCTAAAACAGAAACATATGTAATGAAACCAAGGTAATTTGATACAAGCTGGTTTACAAGCTGCTCTTATCTATTACAAAATGTGATTGTGTACAACTAAAACAAAGATCATGGCCAACACTCATATAGCCATTTTCCATACATGAATACATGGTACATTATTTACTGCAACCACATTGGGGTGAAGTAGAGGTGCTTCACTGTGCAAAGTGTGTGTTCACTTAGCTCAGTAAATAGGGTAAAGCTTATTATCATCATCTGTAAGGTAAAAAAAGAGAATTTGCTAGTATAATTTTGGATAATTAATGTAAGCACATCTTCACCACATTCACTAAGCTAGGTAAACATTCACTAGTCCTTTAGTAGATCAGCACAACTGCATTACCCATAGTAACCCAATTGTAAGACTGAAAAGATTCTGGTTTTATTTCTTTTAATTTTTATTTCTGTTCTCTTTTTTTTTTTACACCAGAAATAATAAAAGTAGATCTATAGCCAACCTTCTTTATGATTTTGGATAATGTTAGGAAGAGTTAAAGCCGGTGCCAAGTTTATTACTATTTCTCTGTGTCTCTGTTGGGGAGATTCACCCCCTCTTTGTCCTGATGACTACTGTCACTAGGACAGCAAATTATGGGAAATCATAAATGTCATGGTTGACACTGGAACAAGCATTGAGGGGAAATCTTCCATTACTGATACCTGCTCCAGTGACCATCTCCTTAAAAAGTATTTATTTTCACTTTCATAAGATTTTCTAGCACTTCCTGCTGTTTCGCTAGGACAGGAGAGGAGAAATCTCCCCAGTGGGACAGAATATAACCTGACAGGGGTCCTAACTATTAACTGCTCTACACAAATAATTTTGCTTAGAAAAAGCTAGAAAACAGTACTATAAAAGAGTGTTACAGTGATTGTTGGTTGTGTGCCAAATGTAGGAGCTCCTACCCTCGTCACAAGACCATGCATGGCCATTGCAAATGTATTCAATAAGTCAAATTGCAGTAACCCTTATTTATAGGATCTGACTTCAGAAATAATAAATCTCACTGGGTTACCACATTTTGCACCACAAATTTGCTCTTTTAACGGTCCTATTGGAGAGCATTGCCAGAAGGGGGCATGTAGAAGACGGCAGCCAGGTGTTGAAAAGGGTTAAATTATTTTGATTTGCGTTAAGGAAAGTCAAAATAAATCAACTTGAGTGTCTGAAAGCTTGAATAAACACAACTCAATAACATAAACCTCTTATAAACAGTGAAAATGGGTGAGTAGATCAGCAAACTACGAACGTGTTTTTTGAGCCTCCCATTTAAAACCAAACACCTCCATAAAAGACCATTTAACGGGTGATGCTGCCCTGGCAGAATTTTCAGGTGGGTCACCAGATGGTGTAGTGTCAAGTTAACAAAGGTAGCTTATTGAAGCATACAGTACAGAGGAAGTGAATCAAGCAGTTGTATACAATCTGCTTAAGAGGCTTAGAGTTACCGGGAAAGAAAGTGAAGTAGCCTGTGAGAGCCCACGGGGTCAAGAGAGGATGTGTCTAAGTGTGTAATGAGCATATGTTTAATGTACGATGGGGGGGGAGCCAATGGGCAGAAGGGCACAGAGGTAAGTTAAGGACTCTGAATGCATCGGATTAAGAAGAAAGTTGATTGATCCGTATCTATTTCATTGCAATCACCCTGACATTCTGGAATGATCTAAGTAACCATTTGGATTTTCTGCAATTTTTTGTCCAGCTGATATGTGTACATTGAAAAGGTTCTTGATATTACGAGGCCGCAAAATTGACCACATTCACAGTACATGCTTTTTGCTGTTCCGTCTAACTTCACAAAAACAGAAGAATCAGAAGTGGAATGAGTGACATCACCCCCTAAGTGAAGACATTATTTAAATCAGACATTGGAATGGCTTGTGTAATGAGAAGGGATGGTGTGTTATTGATTAAAATAAACTATAATATAATGTATGGCTTTTCATGGTATTCTCAGTATAAAAGCTTACTTGAAGCAGTCATCGCAGGCTATGGTGCCTGTAGTTTCTTTTATGGTGCGTTCAGAGACAAAAGCTGGATACTCTGTGTCGCAGGGCTCCAGGGTCTGCTTTAGCCTTTGAGCTGCAAGAAAATGTCAATGTCAGATTTCATAAAAATGAGAAGAGAAGAATAAACCTATTACATATTGAAGAATAAAAATGGTGAGGCTTGCATTATTTTTTATTCCTCTATCGGTATTTTGTATTTCCTTTTTGTGCTGTAGATATAGAAATCACCAAGTCCAGACAGCCAATGGTACTGCCTACCATGAGTTTTGCAGTGTAGGTATGATTAAGCACCATGTCATGCTATAGTATGGCACGACACAATGCGTTTGAGGGCTTACATACACACGCAAGAAAGTTTATTAGTTTTATTGTGTTGACATAATGCTACCTGTATGCAGGGTGGACGTTACTATTAGCGGGAAACAGGTCTGTTCCCCACTGCGGAATTAGCAAATTTTATTGTGACCTGTAATCCCAGAGCAGTGGCACATCATCTTGCTCTTCCCTCAGGCCAAATGTGTGGAAGTGGCAAGGGATTTCCATGGTTAAATAAGCACTAACTTGGGGAGCTTTCTCGGGAACTTACACAACAAGGCAAGGTAGGGGTGAATTTGGTGGGAAATTGGGCACATCAGTTGCTGTATATCCTAGAATCCAACTTTAAGCTTAGACGTTCTTTAATTGCATGAAACATGAAAAGCCAACTGGCAGCCAAAGGGAGCCCATGGGGCTTTCTTAGCAACCCATGTAAAATATTATTCTTAGATAAATCTTCCTGGCTATATATTTTTTTCTTTGTTTATCCCTCTCTTACTAGCTCTTGGACAGACAGTAAAACAGCTGGAAGCCTGTAGTTATTGTTTGCATCATTTTACTTGTTACCTAAAGTGATTTGTGAATTCTTGTAACTGCTATCAGGCACAGACCGGCACATCAAGAAGTGTATGAAAATTGCCTGTCTGGCATGGTAACCTACTCTGAACCAATAGCTACCTATAGTAGAACTCCCTCCCAATTTTGGCAAAGGAACCCTATACTAAGACAACACATGGCGGATGCTATTGCTGACCTCTACTTAAAAGTGTTCGTTGCCTGGCTTCAAAATTTGGTGAGTGCCTGGCCTGACAAAACCATGCAAACCAAGTTCTAGCTTTTCTCTTCCTTTACTTGCTGCATCCTTGTTCCAAGTTCAGTGACTCCGAATACACATATAGCCAAATTGAACTATTTGCTTAAATCAGCTAAATGTATTCCAGGTGTGCACATTTTTTAAATGCAGCCACAGCCTGACTACGCTTTCCCCTACCAGCGTATTGTAGAAAAGCAGCTATGCTCACTGTGTGGGAGCAGATGTCTATCTGCAGATGTCCTACACACCCCCTGCTAATTCAGACCTATTGCTCTCCATCAGGAAAATTCATGCTCCCTGCTGATTGCAGAGCTTTAGCAGGGGAATTGTCAGACCTCTGCAAAGTGACTACTGCTTCCACAAAGAGAGCAAGGGTCTTTTCTCTACAGCATACTGGAAGGGGGCAGGCTTACTACTCAGGCTGTGGTTGCTATAAAATAAAAAAGAAACTGCAAGACTTTTCACACCTTGGCCTTTCACACTTTAGATTAGCATTACTGCCAGGCAACTAGCATTTCCATAAAGAGGTCAGCAATGGCAGTTCTAAAACGTCTTTCATTATAGGTTATATGGTAACATTATAGTTATATGTAGAGAAAGGTCCTCTGTTATGTTTTTGTTGATGTCTGACAGTGTGCATATATGGACAATGTTCTCCAGAGTGAGATATATAAGAAGGTTACCCTCACAGCAAAGACCTGGGTGTCACTGGGACAGGAAGTAAGTTGAAATCTTAAAAATAGGGACGCAGCTATAAAAACCCAACAAAGCATCTTGCTCTTCCCCACTCTATTTGGATAGAGTTATGCTTAATAAGCCAAAGCACATGCTTCACTGTAAGATCAATAAGCATAAAAATTACACACGCATATTAATCACTGATACTTAGGAATGCAGGTGCAGCTGACAAAATCATAGAATTTTTGCTATTAAGACCGTCTAACTTTTTTGTGTTTAATTTTTCCTGTGCATCTGTTCTATATTTATTGCTCCAGTACTGGATTTTTAGAATCCTTGGCTTTATACCTATGTAGCAAAGTTAGTTTTCACTTAGAAGGACAAACAAGTATTTTCCTCTATCGACATATCCAGACAAAGTCTTTTTCCATTTATTATGGAAATCATGGCCACTCTGATGGAGGAGGTATGACAAAATAAACTTTATTGTAGAACAGTTGGCCTCAGGGACTCCAGCTAGACAGCCGGTTCTACACTGGACCACACAAATTCCTGTTTTCAAGAAGGGTGGTCTGCCATTCTTCTCCCTATATTTTATTCACAAACTTATTAATTGCACATGTTCCTTTCTCCTAATTGTGTAGAAATATTATGTTGGAGATGGGCATTGGTTCTGCATGCTTTCAATACCAAATTAACTGCTACATACTTTAGACATAAGATAACTTAAAGATGATTTATGGGAAGTAAGACAATCATAAAATACCCCCCTCCCCGTCAAGCTAATATAGGATCTAATGCTTGTTTTGTCTAGGTAGGAGGCGGGATAAGATAGAGAATGACCAATCTTAACCCACAGTCCCGCGCTAGCTGGCACTCTGCTCCTCTTTTCTTTAGTGTTGGAATGTGGGTGGGTCCGTCTACATCATAATGTGCAATGCAGAACCAGTGGTGGCTGTGATGATGTTGGTGAGAAGGGTGGCAACAGGACTTGACCTAAAGAACTGCTTTAAAGGAGAACTATGGGGTTAGGGCTTTTCCCCATAGTTCTCCTCAGGGTAACGGGAGGACACAAACTAGCATCCTCCCGTCACCCTAAGCTCAGTATACCACGAGCTACAGCTTGCGGTATACTGAGACACCGCAGCTGAAGCGGATCCCGACAATTATGTCTGGATCCACCCAGCTGCGTGCCAGCTGTACCTGCCCCCTCCCCCATCTGTTCAGCCAGTCAGCGCTGGAGTATCGGAGCGGGGAATCCAGGCACTCCCCTGTCACAACAAAGGGCTGTGACAGGATCGAGAAGTGAGCGAACGCTGGTATGTGTGCGCTCACTTCCCGATCTACTGAGCCGACCTGTGACAGTCTCATTGTCACAGGTCGGCTAGAACTATGAGGTGAGTGAAAAGCACTCACCTTATAGTTCTCCTTTAAGGGACTGATCGTTACAACTGAAACCAGTCTAGGGGATGATATAAAGCAAAGTGTCACTCACCTTAATCTAGGATCTCATGGGGTTCCTCCTCGCTAGTCCTGTATTGATGGCCAGTTCTACAAAGCTGCTCTTCTAGCTAATCTTTTCAATCTCCATCTCGCCAATGTTATCACAGCCTTCACTGATCCTACATCTCAGGTACACAGCATAACTCTGCTGTTGCCTGGTTTAGCTTTACTGCTTTTTGGGTCACCTCCTTGCTCATTGGACAAAGGTAACAATGCTGATTGCCTATGCATTAATACTGATCCACTAAGCAGACTGTAGGTGGCACAGGAAGCTGTAAAAGTGTCTCCTTCCTTGCAGTGCAGTGTGGCAGGGATTTGTGAGTTACATAACCTTTTGAATGTACTAGAGGTGAAGGTATGTATAACTTTGCATGGGTCATGGGATATGGTTTTTGTATGTAAAATAGGCAACATTGTTGAGGCATTTACAGAGTCGTTACTCCTTATACAATATCTAAAGCAGCACATTTAAGTTTGGCTGGAGTTGACCTTTAAGCTACTTACCCACAATGGCCCTGATTCATCAAACCTCAACTGGCACTTAAAAACTCAAGAACAAAAATGTAATCTATTGCAGCTGACCAGATGTGGTGATGGCAATCTGTTGTGTTTTTTTTTTTTTTTTTTTTTTTGTAGGCTAAGAACATTTTCTGTGTGTAAAAAAACACCTATTAATCTTATCCTTGTACAATGGACTGATATTTCAAATAAAGTTATCAGCCTCTACAGCTATCACCTGTGAGCAAAAAAGCAACACACTCATGAAATGGAGATGAGGATAGGGAACGATGCTTGTAGCCCACATCAGGAAAGCAGCCTAGGGGGACAATGCTGCTTCTCCATACAGTATAGTGAGTGGAATGGTCACCCTAGGACAGCAAGTCCTAGTGTGCTATTGGAATGCTTGCCAGTTAAATATATAGTTAAAAGGGATGGAAAAGGCCTGAAATAAAGAAAACCAATGTAGCTATTACATCCGAGGGCTGATAAGCTGAAATATATCACTTGTTTGTTTTGTGGTTAAGCCAAGCTATAGGTCACTTGTTGTGAAAGTAGCATCTCAGTCAATATTACTTTAATATGTAATTCAAACACGCCTCAAGCACACTCTAAAGTGGAACTTTACCGTAGAAAACTAAAATATGGTAACAGGTAGGTAGCGTCCTACCTGCCTACTAACACATTTCTAAGGATTGTACACTGAGCCGTTAATGCACAGCTCTGTGCACAATATTGGCATGCCCGGAATGAATTAGATTCCATGCCCGTGTGTGGGATTTACAATATCCCCGGCCAGCCATTCAATATGGCCAAAGACGCTGGACCCAGAAGAACACTGGGTGAAGATGTCAGCAATGGTGAGGGAGCTCATAGATGTCTTATCTCTAAGGGGAAAGTTTAGTGGATTTTAGTTTTACTTTAATAGCCACTGCAGCAATATGAATCCATCCCATGAAGCCACATCCAGAATACAGCAACTATGCAGTTGCTAGAAACTGAACCTTTAAAAGCTTAAACATTTACATTTTTATGAATTACATGAAGACCATGATGAGCCTGGTTTGCATTTCATTCACTGAACCAACATTTAAACAGATGTATATAAATCAAATGCTTTAGTGTCATTACATTGAATACAGATAGTAAATGCAGCTGGATTGCTTACCTTTCACAGAATGGCCTGAATTCCACCAACTGCATAGATTAAATTCTACAAGAAACCTGTAGAGCAACATTGACACATATGATTATGTTTATATGGCATGTTACTGACATATATTTAAGGTGTGCTAAAATGAAATAACATAAAATTGGATGAGAGGACACTTAAACATGACGGAAGCACACTTTAAGATGCCATAAATGTTATTGCAGCCCTTGAATCTATGGAGTGGATTTACTAAAGGCAAATAGGCTGTTCACTTTGCAAGGGGATTTTCCCTTAGCTTGGTAAATGTAAAAACAAACCCAGTCACTAGCAAGGAAAATAAAAAGAACAGTAATGTTTTGTTGATTGGATGATGGGAGTCAGCAGAGCTTTACCTCACTCAATAAGCTAAGGGGAAAATTCCCTTGCAAAGTGCAAATTGCCTTGCAAAGTATACACTCCATTTGCCTTTAGTAAATCAACTCATATATGTCTTCTTCCATTAGTTACCTTCAAGCATGCTCTAGGGACGTTTGGTTGACATACATGTATCCATCATATGATCTACATGCGATGGATACATCATATCCATGCCCTCTTAGATTTGAGGATAAAGGATATGGGGTAAACTGTATCTTCATACACATAAATTGAGTGAAGGTGTTTTGTGGACTGGTATCAAAATCCAACCCATCAATGAATTAAATATTTAGGCATGCAATCTCTTATAGGGTCAGTTTACCCATAAGGTAGAATATACAGGTATATCCCCTTGAGGACTTCACCATCACCCTCTCTCTGCTATAGCTTTGTTCTCCAACATCTGGGAGCTTGTGTTCCCTTTTAAGCTTGTGGTGCTCTCACTTATCCTGTTGCATCCTCTATAATATGCAATTGGGGGAATTTATCAAAACTGGAGGAGAAAGAATCTGGAGCAGTTCTCCATGGCAACCAATCAGCTCTCTTCAATTTGCTCAGGTAAGATTTAAAAATGAGAAGCGGATTGGTTGCAGTGCAAATCTGCTCCAGAATTTGTCTGCTCCAGTTTTGATAAATTCCTCCCAATATGTTTAAAAATCAACTGGGATCCCTTTCTAATGGCAGGTATGAAAACTTGGAAACAAGGTACAAAGGTGCCCATTCCGGCCAAAGTGACAGAGTACCTTTAAAGCCCCCCGCCGACCCAGGTATACTCAGATTCCCCACATTCTCTTGCCACTCTGTTCTTATGTCTGAGGCACTAAACAAGTGCATATGTTTTTTACAGGTAGGGGGAGCATAAAACTTTCTTCCACGATGTAGTGCTGGGACATAAGTGGCCAATCATCCAAACAGTGTAACAAAAGGAAGGAGTGACATAATCAACCTTGATGCCATCAAGCCCTGACACCATCCAACACAGAGCTCACGCTGGAGGGCAAGGAAAGTGGGTATAAGAAGGATAGAGGATGAGCTTTAAAGAGACTCACTCAGACTGTCACTTTGACCTAAGTGATCCTTAAAAGGTGTTAATATGGATGTGTGAGCCTCTACTCTACTGCCTCCAGACCTATGGCAGGATAACAAATGAAATACATTTCTCCCCCATCCTTTCATCCTTCCAAGGAATTACTAATTTAATACATTTCAAAGAATTGTTTTCCTGTACGAGCAAATCGGCCCAGGAAGATGTTGCCTTCCTCTGGCTCAGCTGTTGTTATAGGGAGGGTATAGGGTGCTGAGGATGCAAGGCCTTTTTTTGTTAAATGACGAAATTGTATATCTTCATCACTATGGAACTATGCAACATTGTGTGCTATGCAAATGTTGAGGTCAGACATATTTTGTAACACTTTTTTTTGTGCTTGTTATACATGCTTATATAGTCTCTTGATGCTCATTAAAGGCTCTGGGCACTATAGCCATGGATTTTTTGTTTTAGAATTACACACACTGTTCTAATGTACTTTGTATAATATATAAATCCTATATAAAACTATGGAACATACTATTGCCAGTAATTATTTAATTCATTTTAGAATTCTACACCCTTGGTTGTTAATTGCAACACCACAATTTCAATTTTCATTCACATACTATACATTAGCATGTGATTTTCTGGGCACAATTCACACAATTCATAAAGAGAAATGGATACTTTGAATTTTTCAACTAATCAAATTCCAGATGTAATTTTACAGGCCAGTTAAGGGAATCATATAATCTAATTGGTTGTAAAGGTTGAACCATTTGATTTTAAAAGACAAAAATGAATGACCAACATGCCTTGACATTTGTTTTTCTATCTGTGAATATAAAATGGGAATGTCTAACAGTGGTTGCAAGACACAAGCTAAAGGCTACTTTCACCTGACTCACAAAAATGAAACTCTTGCTCCTTATCTTAAAAAAAAAAGTATTCTGGGAATTATGGGCTCATGTATCACATTATAGACTGTGTAATTGGAAACAGGGATATGATCTGCCGACATCTCACTAACACCTGACAGCCTGCCCTATCCCTGACATGAGCATCTAAGGAACTATTTTAAAGAACATGAAATCACCAAGCAACAAAATGACTCATGGAGATGGTTTGATTTATTCAAGGGGGCCCACCCAGGCAGCAGACATCCATTACCCACCACACAAGTAAAACCACAATAACAGCGGTTCTTCCTATCTGTCCACTTCAGATATACACATCCAGCACTGCACTTGAGCTCACAAGTGTGGCAACTATGTTGCTAGTGATATATTAATAAGTGTGACGTACTAAACTAGGTTACAACATGCAGAAAGGAAATACTTTGTGATGGTAAATGAACACTTACAGGATAAGCTCTGTCATTATCCATTTTGCTGCAGCAAAGAAGGCATGATAAGGCTGTGAATGAATTGAAAACAAAATTAGGTTGACTTAAGAAGATTTTAAATGTTGTTTGAAGTATTATAAGGCATTCCCTCAAAGAGTCTGTAAAGGCTTTCATTTATCCAGGTCATGGTATAGCAAGTAGTGTTTATTAAAAGTCAGCTGGACTTGCTCTGTAATGTTCAAGGTGTTTCACCACTCAGTGGCTTCTTCAGTTGAAATGAGTATAAGGAATGTTCCCAACACTATTTAGAATCGAGGAAGCTATCTGGATAAGTTGAAACATCTTCAACAGTAGAGAACATGTCCTGCTGACTTTTAATAACTACTATTAGCGTCCCTCAATGCGATGTGCCCATACCTGTACTCCCATAGGACCTGCTATAATTCAGTATAAATCAGCTCCATTATGAAAATCCTTGCTGCCTGTGGACAAGCCAGTGAGATGGCCTGTCAACCGAATGAAGCACCAGGAGGAAGGTAAATATTCAAGGCCAAGCAAATTGTGTATTCACCTGTTGCATGTGTTATTTAGGCATCTTCCAATATATCAACTAACAGAAATGCATTGTCTGTGTTTTCATTGTTTACTTGACCTCTATATCTGGTTTTTAACAACACCTGAATAAAACATGTAGGAGAAAACCTATCGACTCTTGCTTTTTTTCCCCATATTTTGCCAACTTTGATATTGTAGGGCAGTACAATGTGCTAACCAACTCTACAGATCAAATTATTGTCTTACTTGTTCAGCTGTGTTTACACACTTCTTTTATAGTAATTTCACAGTTGACAATTGACTTTTGCCAGAGACACATCAGGGTTGATTTACTAAAGTAGTAGAGCATGTTCACTTTTCAAAGTGAATTTTCACTTTGCAGGGGAATTTTCACTTAGCTTAGTGAATATGGTGAAAATCTATTTTGAGAACAATACCCAGTCATGTGATTAAGAAATCCCCCCTCCCCCCAAAAAAAAATGCACATGATCAGATGATTGAAGTCAGTAGAGCTTCAATTAATTTGCTGATCTAAGTGAAAATGCCCTTAGCAAAGTGAAAATCCACTTTGCTAAATAAAGAGCCTATACCACTTTCATAAATCAACCCCAATAAGACTCATACAGAGGAGGAGAGGGGACTAGCTGGGGGGCATTTGCCACTGGGCCAGTGCTAATAGGATATGTTAGGCTGGATCCCCTGTGTACTGATACTTTATCATCCAGACACTGATCAGAGTGGGATCTGCAGTCAGTATTATTTAGCTACTTGCTCTCCATTCAGGCCTGTGTACACAGTGTCTGGCAAAGAAAAGTCTTCTAGCACCATGTTCCTTCACAGCTCTAATATGTCATGTGTCCAGATGTTCAGAGCCGCACAGGAAGCTAAAGATGGAAGATGTGAAAAGGTGTGTCACAATCAACTATGCAGGTTTAGGAACACCCAAACTTTCCTCACACCTACCACCCATGGCAGCACCATGACCTTCTTTATAGCGACACATTATCACAGGACCCACATATACTGTATTTTTCTGTGTATAAGACGCTACTTTTTCATAAAAATGTTTACCTAAAAATAGAGGTGTGTCTTATACACGGGGGCCGCAGTTTCGAAACTGCTGAAAATGCTGATACCACTGCAAACTAGCCTCACGAGTGAAACTTTGGATTGCAGGGACAAGATAACAGTTCTCATCCAATCATAAATCTTTTGTACCTGACGTCAGCTGTTGCTGGGGAGAGTGTGTAGACAGTGCCCAGAGCGGTAATGTCGGAGCATTCTGTGACCATAAAAATGTCAGAAAATGAAAAACAACCTGTAAAGCGGCTGCCTTACTCTGCAAAATTTAAACTGGATGTAATCACTTATGCAAAAGAGCATGGAAATAGAGCTGCAGAGAGACAATTTGGACCTCCTCCCACTGAGTGTATGAACAGACAGTGGAGAAAACAGGAAGAACAACTCCTTAAGATGCCCAAAAAGAAGAAGGCCTTGGAGGAAAACCAGCAAAATAGCCAAACTTGGAGCAGAGGCTTAAGACTTGGATTTCTTGCCAGAAACCATTGATGCAACAGAGGCTGAATGAAGTGATTGGCATAATATCAAGAAGTGTGATGCATAATATCATTTAAAATATTGATTTCTGAATTTTGGGTAAGAAAAGTTGGGGGCGTCTTATACATGGGGGCGTCTTATAGACGGAAACATACGGTATCTGTCCTTATCATGAAAGGGCTAGTTGGTTGTACTTGTCCCCCAGGCCAAAGGTTCCCCGCCATCCCCTGGCCGCGTGGATAACAGTGTCCAAAGGAATAACCATTCTTGTTGCCCATAGAAACAAATTACATAAAGTCTGGACATGTTTTTACAATTGTATGAGAGACACTTTTATGCATGAAGTTTAAAGTTGTTTCTATATATACACCTCAATTTGTGAAAATGTACTTTTCTCACAGCATAAAATTTTGGACTTTAATGGTATCTGTGGGGTATATAACCTTATCTATTAAGTTATATTATAAAATCATTTGGTTATATTTATTCAACAAAATCATTGAAAGCATTAAAAAACAACCCAGTTGCATAGTACAAAGTGATCAGTCCTGATATTACATATTGTCCACATTCAACAACATTGTCACAAATGTCAGAAATACTTACATCCAATAAACTGTGGGCGCTGTCACTGCTCTCCTTATTTGTTCTGCACATGGCTTGGTAGTCATATAGGGTTATTCTAAATAAAGAAGTGGAGATATTTTATGTTAACCTGCAGATAACATTTGATATATTACAAATGACTGGTGGTTGTGGACTATTTCAAGCTAGGGCATGCACATCATTTTATGAATTATGTATATTTTGTGTAATCCATATTTTTGTCTATTTAGTTTTAAGGCCGCCATAAACATATTCCCCATCGATTAAACATTCAATTAGGGGCACTGTAGGGGCAGCACAGTGGATTAATGGTTGGCAATCCCAAGATTACTTGAATTGAATTTCAACCAGGACATTACCTACATGAACTTTGCATGTTCTCCCTGCGCTTGAGTGGGTTTCCTTCCACACGCCAGTAACATGCTAGTAGCTGTTAACTGTGCTTAACTGAAACTTAAGTAGACTTTTGTCTAAAGTGGCCTTACTATGTATGCAAGCGGGACCTTAGATTGTAAGCTCCCTGAGGCAGGGACTGATGTGCATGCACCGTATGCAAAGTGCTGCGTAAATTGTTGGCACTATATAAATACCTATAATAAACAAATCAGTAAACAGCATATACTGTATTGACTGAAAACACGATTTATCAGAAAAAATAATTTAATCGATCTATAATACAATCGGTTCTCTGACACATGCCCATATTGTTGTTTGATTGATTTGAAGTGATCAACTTGCAAGAGTTTAAATCAGTCGAGAGCCTGTGGTTTACAATTCATATTTAATTTGATTGTTTGCAATCTGACCATGTTTCATTGTTACCCTCTAAATATTGGTATATCATGAAACATGATCAGAAAGATAAACTTACAGGTCTATTCACTAAGCTGCCAAGGGCAGCCGAGTGAACAACCGACCCCAAGTGAAGTGAGCCGAACACTGTTCGGCTATTCACTTCAGGCTTGTACGGTGGATTTCAGCCGTATATCGGTTGAAATCAGCCGTACATCGGCTTGCTTGGCATGGCTTCGGGTCAGCCGAACATGCTCAGCATGTTCGGCTGATCCGAAGTGCAGAAGGAGTTCGACTCAGCCGATCCAACATCTGGATCGGCTGAGCCGAACCTCCGGCAGGCTACTCACTGCTGTTCGGCCTATTCTTATAGATGCCGAACAGCAGTGAGTGAATAGCCGAATGACGCTGAGCGGCATTCGGCTCAGCTGTTGAATGAACAGAAAAATAGTAAAAAAAGTTTTTAAAAAAGTAAATAGAAAACGATTGTGCGGAGCTAGCAGTGACAGCTAGCTCCGCCCAACAGTTTTATATTGTCCGGCGGTTCTGCTGCCGTAAAAAAAAAAAAATCTCCCGGGCGCTCTGGGAGCCTCCCGCTCCCGGCCGCCCAGGAGAGAAACACTGATTTTTCTTGTTTTTTCTTTATTCTGACACGAAGCCATGTCAGAATAGAAAAAAGAACAAAATCGTTTTTGCCCATTGGAATGGGAGGAGAGGAGACTGAGGAAATGCTTCCTTCTGCTCGCAGCTGACTGGTGACATCATCTCAGGCTAGAAAAAAATGACTTGTCAAGGAGTGCTTTTTAATGGGAAGGGTATGGCCTTTTTAACTACCTCCCTATTGCTTTGTAGTTAAAAAAAACCAAAAAACATCGGGAAAGTGGACGTGTATTTCTGGAATGATATCTAAAGGCATCATTCTACAGCTACACCCGCTAGTCTCTGTGTACTGATCCATCATGAGATGGTTCAGTACACCGAGACACTGTATAGAGCCACTGTATAGGCTCAATACCATGTGATCACTGTGCAGACTTGTACTGTTTACACTGATGATTGCTTGCCTTCCTCTTACTACAGAGGAAGAAAAGGAATGGCATTAAGTTGTGAGTGGGAGAATCAATGAATGACTCAGCAGCAGCAGCTCACTCATTCATTCATTGATTCTCAGTGACTCAGATCGTTTATCCCCTTCACTGCCCCTCATCTCTTAAACGACTGATCTCCAGCCTGCCTCTGTATTGTGACCTGTATATTAACCCTTCATCTCTCTTATACCGTGCATATGCCCATTAATCCTTTCATCTCCATCCTGCCAGTGTATGTGAACTGTACTTTAACCCTTTCACCTCCTAATCCCTCTGTGTATGACCTGACATGCTATATCTAGTTCACCATTACTAAGCTCCACATTTTTACCCCATCAATATCACCTTTTTTAACTTAAAAATAGTGGCATAAAAAATTAGATCCCCTTAGGGTGTCTGCTTTCCATAAAGGTTTAATTTTAGGGGTGTTTGTACTGCCCAGGCTTATTTTTTCAGAATTATTTGTATTTTTACCTTTCTATAGTAAAAAAAACCCTGTTATTAAATATCAACAAATGTCTCAAAATTATATATATATTTTTTTTTACAGTATTGCATGATGGAATAATTGTTAATCAAAGGGGTAAGCACAGGCTGGTATTCAAGTAGTTAAATTATACTGTGATTCTATATTGTAATATGTCAGGAATTTATTTATGTGTAAAAATTACCAAAAGGTCCACTTTAAGCACATTTGCAGTATTTTCTGTCTGGTTTGACTTCTTCCCTTGCTCTTTAAGGACACTGAATGCGATCTATTAGACAGGCACCTAAGTGCTGCCTAATAAAGTGGAAGACTGTGACAGGCTAATAACTCATAATTTTACATGTTTCATCGCTGAAGTAGATAAACACAAATGATTTCAGGAAACAATTACACCAGTTCCTTTTATCAACATGAAATAGCTGTAAAGTGTTATTTTTTCAAACTACCTTGATGTCATTTTAATTTTTTTTTAAAGAGTGCTTTGTGGCTACCTGTATCCCTTCCTGCTGATTATAGCAGAGGAACATTGCAATTGTCTGTTTTCTTTCATAGCTAAATAAAGGGGGCAGTCCACGTCCGATGCTGTTCCCCCCAAAAAAAATGGCAGACTTTTTTTTTCCCCCCTGCTACAGATACCATGTCTAGGACATAATGACATATATCCAACATATTATTTTAATTACTGTGCAGAGACTCATGATATGTCATTACCACCACTGTTTTAAAGTGGCTTCTTTTAAAGGTTTGCCGTACTGAATGTGTGGCTTTCTGTTTTCATCTATCAATATTTTTGAAGACTGCTTTTGTAAAAGTAATAAAACAACTTAAAGTGTATAAAAAAAGAGACAATTTCTTTTTTAGTTTCTAATAGAATGGGGAAGCGTTAGACCAGGCATGTCAAACTCTGTCATATATTAATTAATGTCTAAATTTTTAATGTTTAATATTGTGCGTATGAATATTTAGCATTTGTCTCATGAGCCAGAAGGTCATACATGTTATATATTCACGTATTTACAGGCTACCATCACCCTTTTTGTTTAACCTGGTTGTTTACAAACCTCAATAGATCAAGCTGAAATTTAACACAGAATTTGATTACTTATCTCAGTGACTCCTTTATCAGGCGGCAAGTTACAATTAAGGAAGCCACATCATCACAAAAGTAGCCACTTCTAGCTAACCCACAGTGCATTCAGTATGTATGATAGAGTTTTAGTGTGGGACCTCCAAGACATGATGATTAAAAGAATATAATTTAAAATAATATATTTGTAACTTAAAATAATATATATGTATTGAAAGAAATATGGAGACTACAATTGGTCATCACCTTCTGAAAATGCTAGGTGCCGGGAGGTCTCTGGACTCAATACTTAGAGCCACTGACCTGAAGCAAGCATGCCGAAAAGACACTCAACGTGAAGTCATAACTCCCAATCTACAAATTCGATTTAGGTAGTGATTCAAATAACTGAAGTCCCTGGATCAGTATTACACCTTAGGAACAGTTTTGTTTATATAGGGAAGGTCAGCAATGGTTCTCTTGGTGAGACTTTTCTTTAAAAGTAGCCATGGATCTCAAGTAATTTCAACGAGAGACAGGCAGGGAGTTGTATAAGTGCTAGCATCCACCATAATCCTCAGCCTAAGTTGACAGGGATACAGGTGCAGTAATTTGGCCAGTGTGGAAAACCATATCAAAAGGCAAAGATCAGGCCCCTAAGTGCCCCCAACCTCCGTGTGGACTTGTTTTTTTCCTATAGATATTAGAAAATAGCAAATGCAATGTTCAAAATTGGAAGCTTTACTTCAAACTGTTGGTCTGTCTATGGTCACCTTAACAGTTCCACAAATCTAACCTCACAAAACTGAAAACTATATAAGAATGATAAAATTACCATCAGATTTAGCAGACTGAAATGGCAAGGTGGATAAAATGCATGCACTTTGCAATGCCAATACATACCCAGAGATAACTTTTTAATGGCTGCATTTTGTTCACAGCTTAGACTACATTAATGAATGGCATGTTCACTTTAAAGGGGCTTTCCACTTTCAGTATGCATTCAATTTAGAGCAGATGTGAACTTGGTGCCTGGACAGCCAATGGTTAGCTGTTTTTCAAAGCTTTGTAATTGATGGTCCACATTCACCCATAAGTGCACTTAACCTTTTAAGGGTCACAATTTCCCAAGGTTTTTTTAATAGGATAGACTTACTTAAAATGCATCTCCCATGCAATCTTAATTAAGTGGCCTGCAACTTTTCAGTCCCACAACTTGTCACAAGAGCATTTGTGGCTTGCAAGCCATTTGCTTTAATGGAAAGCCCATACACAATCTGTTGACAGGCTTTCCATTGAAAGAGAATGGAGTTCAGGCCACAAATGAATCAGAGATGATGTATGGGACTGAGAAGATTTTAAAGAGATGTTGTATGGTACAGATTACACGCCAGTGACTGCCAGGGAAGTAGATATGTTCTGTTGAGAAAACACTGGTGGTGGGGCTACTGAAAAAGAGAACACACTCATGGGTGAACCTGGAGAATCAAAGAAGTGGATCTGAAATACAGCTAATCAGCTACAAGTGCATTTTTTGGCTTTACATATACTTTAAAAAAATGCTGATATTCTTGAACTTTCAAATTTGGATGACCCAACCCCTAATAGAGATAAATAAAATTGTTATTATTACAATAATTTATAAAGCAATTTACTCTGTGTAACATGTGCTTTATAGGTGCATATTCACATCAGTCCCTCAAGGAGCATACAATCTAAGATCCCTATCTCACATGGGCCAATTAACCTACCAGCATGTATTTGGAGCATGGGACGAAACCCAAGCAAGCACAGGGAAAACGTGCAAACTCCTTGCAGATAGTGTCCTGACCAGGAAACCCCCAGTGCTGCAAGGCAGAAGTGCTAACCACTACAACACTAATTGTGAAGCTCTGTAACCAATGGATTGGCAGCCTTAAACTGTTTCAATGACAGTCCCACCTTAGAACCTTTGACATTCAATCTATTATATGTTCTTTGTTAAAGCCGCTTTGACTTCTACAAGATATTTAAAGAATCTTTCTAGGTTTGAACTGACACATTGCAGAATAAAAGGCATAGCCCTCTGGAAAATATTTTATTGCTGAGATCACTGGTGCAAAGACGGCACCTTTATTGCTTTGCATTTACCGTACAAAGCAATGTTTACACTGTACATTGTGTTAAAGCTTAAATGCCTTTTGACAGGGGAAGAGGAAATTTGAGTAATTACCAGACTACAAAGTCTTTTCCTGCTTTTGATGTGCCATTACATTTAAAGTCTGGAAAGACTGCATGGATATGATATTTGCAGTGTTCAAATAAATTATAGCTGGTGATATCTGTACTTAAATGTTAGAAAAAAGAAATATACTGCTTATATTTTTGTAGCTGACATAACAGAGTATGTTTCTTTTGCACATTGGTGGAATTTCCAAAAACTACAAACTAATAGTGACAGAAAAGTATGGAGTAACATTACAAAGCAATTCTAGGTGTACCTGCTGGTTTGAGAGACTGTGATTTGTTATACCTAATGCCCTGCAACTGGAATGAAAGTTAGTGGAGGTGTCTCAAAACCTGTCTATATCTTCTCCTAGGTTTTATTAGAATAATGACTGCCAGTGGGTTGTTAGTCCCATGACCAACTCGTCTTTGCTTGGTGGACTTGAGATTTTCTATGAAGATCTACTCCCTTAGTAGGACTGACTTCACTGCTCCTAAAGAGCCTCCTTTGACATTTATTGTGTTCTGGGTTGGTTTGGATAACCCTAAAAAGATCTTACTCTCCTGCCAACCTAGCTCTCAGGGTCATAGAGGGACACCTCCCCACCACAAGACTGCAGTCTCCAAAAAGGAATATCAACAATACACTAGAAAATATCTGCGCACAAGACCAGTCTTTGCCAAATCTGGTAGAGATGTCAAGTTTGGGTATGAATGCCAATGGCAACATAAAGTGACACCAAACCTTTAGATAAAAAAAAAATATATAGTAGCCAACTTTTATGTTAGTAGGTTCTGTGGGGTTTTACTTCTGACATTGGCAGCAGGTCCTTAAAAATGTTTTTGTAAATACAGCCAAGCAGCACGTCCTGCTTCATGGTGGCTATGTTTTCTCTTGGTGCCTCCGTGGGACGTCTAGTATAGCCCCCAACATGCTAATTGCATGTTTTTTTGTTTTTTAACATGAGCCTTTAGTGACACTTTATTGTGCAGACTAAATGAAAAAGGAGTGTGCAGGCTACAGTGATCTGTGTTTGTTAAGAACAGGTCTAAGTATGGCTGAGCAACCCAAAGGAGCCGACAGTGCCCAACACATACTCTTTATAAACCCTTCTGGCTAATGCCACAATTGTTAGATTGGCAATATGGGTATGAATGCCTGACATTACTGTGTGATAACTATAAAATTCCCTGTACAGCTATAGAAAATTGCTTGGAAATAGGGAGACATGCAAAGTCTCTTCTGCCCATAAAATTTGTTCTCTCTCCCCAGCACCATGCAGTGTACACACTAGGGATGCACCAATACCGATACCAGTATCGGTATAGATAATGGGCATTTTCATGAGTATTAGAACTCAAAACAATTCTCTGATATTGGCGCTTTTATTTTTTAAAACTGAAGTGGCTGCTGTAAGGTCCTGCGCTTGTTGGGGACTTCACGGCAGCCTTGTGGGGACTTTGTGACACCTGTTTAGCCCTGGTGAGACCCTACATGCAGCCCTGGTAAGACCATGCACACAGCCCTGGTAAGACCCTGCACAAAGCCCTGGTGAGCATATTATTCTGCATTGCTGTATAATGTATTGTTGTGATTTGTAGTCCCTCTATAGCTTGGAGTCAGTGGCAGAACTACCAGGGGTGCAGTGGTTGCACCTGCGTCTGGGCCTTGGCGCTCCACCACTGTCCTAAAATCTTTAGTCTTTATTGTTTTAGAAAAACTGTCACATGACACTAAAAAAAAGGTATCAGTAATTGGTATCAGCGAATAAGTATGGGTACTCGTAATCGGTCTTGAAAAAATTGTATTAGTGCATCCCTAATAAATAACCCTGTCTATTCACAATATCGATAAGATGCCATGAGTGGACCAGGTGTCGGGGAGGCTGTAAGTCCTGTGTGCATGCAACATTCCCTTAAACATGTAACAAGTATGCACATCAGCAGCTGTGACTTCTCTCTTGCTTTCAGGATTAGCAAACGTATTCCAGGTCAGTGACTCAGAATATATTGAAGACAGTGGGTCAGCATAAAAGCCAGGCAACTAGCATTTCCAAAAGGAGAACAGCAATGACAGCCTCTGTATTTTTCCTATGACAGGCTTTAAAATAAGAATATTCTTTATTAACCACTTGAAGTCCATGGTGTCAAACCCCCTTCCCATCCAGGCCATTTTTCAGTATTCAGCGCTGCGGTACTTTGACTGACGTTTATTCCGTCATGCAACGCTGTACTGAAATGAATGTTATACTATTTTTTGGGGACAGATAGAGCTTTCTTTTGGTGGTATTTAATCACCACTGGGGGTTTTATTTTTTACTATATTAAGGAAAAATTACGGATTTAAAAAAAAACAAAAAAAAACACAAAAAAAAAAACAGTTTCCCCTATATTAAATGATAAAACATTTATTATTACCCAATTTTTTGGTAAAATATAAAAGACGGGGTCACGTCAACAAACATGTCGAGCCTTAAAATTGCGTGCGCGCGCGGAACCTCAAAAAAAGATAATACCCAAAATTGGGTATTACAGCTCATCAGTTTAGTGTTATCAGTGATTGATGGTCCTAAAATTATTGCTCTCACTGCGATGTTTGTGGCGATATGTAACATGTGTAGCGCAATTGTCGTTTTCGCGCGCTGGTGCACCGGACGCATATTTTCGTTTATATGTGCGTAAACGTGGGGGTGGGGGACAATGACTGACAGGTGAATGTGGAAGTGATGTAATACACATCACTTCTGAATTCACAGCACGGAGGGAGGTCAGCAAGGAGCTGACCTCCCTCCCTTCTCCTCCTGATGCCCTCCAGAGCCAGTCCCGGGCTGCAGATGGGGCAGCGGATCCCGGGATTGAAGCAGAGGGGTCAAGAAGGGGGGGCGCGCGCGAGCAGAAAAAAAAATGCCGTCTGGAGACATGTAAAGTGTCCGTTTATATTATAGCAATTTGTACGCTGTGCAAACTGTTGGCGTTATATAAATCCTGTATAATAATAATAATAATAATATGCATACAGATGCCACTGATTTCTGGTATCTAGAACCTGGAATAGACCTCCAACAGGATATTTTGCAGGTCTCTGCCAGGTCACCAATACCTGGTAGAGACCTGTGGCACATCTGCATACATGTGGAATAAAAGTAAAAGTATAAAAAACTGTGATGGCACATAACATGCCACGTGGCATTGGGCATCTCTATGTAATTTCTACCCTAGTCGAGGAATCAGGAATTGCTCCACTGCAGTAAAATGTACCATTCTTTAAAAAAAAAAAATGACAATGTTTTCTAGATCTGTAAAAGGAACATGAGGCAGAACCAGAAGATAAATAGTTTTTGAAATGGGTAAAGGTCCATGTGATACAATTTGTGAAAAACAAATGATCTGAACAAGTTCTTTCAACCATTTTTAGGACGCAAACATTTTCATTTGCTCAAATGTCTGTTATATGTTTATTGTGATGAGTCCATATACAGGCAGGAAGTGGAGAATCTGGAAGTCTGGTGCAAAGTTAACAATCTCCCTATCAACATAAAGAGAACAAAGAAGATTATGGACTTTATTTGGTGGGGTGGGGGTGGCTGTTCAGATGGTCCCTTGCTTTAAATATTTGGGGTTGTACATCTCTGTTGTACATCTCTGATAACCTCACCTGCAGCACCAATACAGCTAGCATAGTGAAGAAAACCTATCAACACCATTACTTGAGGAGTGTGCTTAAAGTGTGCTGGCCTGGGTACTCAAATCCTCATCTCGTTTTAAAGGTGTGTGGTGGCTAGCATCCTTGCTTATTGCATAACTGTTTGGTATGGTAATTGCTCTGTTTTAGCTCTACAGCCCCTCTCTTTTTTAGCTCTACCAGTGTATGGCCACCTTTGCCATAATACACTTTTAAAGTGTAATATGTTTTTCCATTTTTAAAGCCATACCAAAATCTATTTCAGCTTGGCCTAGATATGGAAAGAATGACTCAGCATACAATCATAACAAAGACACACTGTATTCTATCTATGAAGGGCTGCAATACAACTAAAGAGCTATTTAAGGAGGTTTAATTGTGCTTGAAAATATTTAATTGAGTCATGTCCAATTAAGAATAGCAGTGAGCATACTGTATCTCTAGGCAAAATTAAAAAACAAAAAAATTGTCTGTAGCAAGTAAGGGGGAGAAGCCCATCAGACTTTTTCTGTTTTTTTGCTGTTTTTGTTGCTTTGGGGAGATTTCTCTTTACTTTTTTACTTAGTTATCTTTTGGGCAGGAAGTTAATTAAAATCTGCAAATAGAATCAAAGATAGCAACAAAAAAAAATCTGAGAGGGGTTCTAACCGTCCCCTACTTTATCAAAAACAAATATTTGGCTAGAGATACAGTATACTTCTGTATACATCTCAGGTGATCCTAGCTATCACTTTAATGCTATGCATATAATGTAAAATGTTATTTCTGTACAATATTACATTAAGTTTCTATTTGTCACAGAATTCCGATCTATGAAATAGGTGTGTCACATATCAGAAACTATAGACATTCCAGCATATCAGAATCCCCGAGTTACATTTGATCTGATTTATGCTCAGGCACAGCTACACAGGGAAAAGCCTATAGGGTACATTAAGCGGCAAGCATTGAAGATTTCAAAGGGCAAGAATTATCTCTTTACCAAGAAAGATCTTAGAACACGTTCCAAATTATTTGGGTGTGTGCAGGTTGCTGAAAGCAAGAGGAGTTCTTCTCTTTTATGGCCAGTACATCTGAACTTGTCGATGTTTGAACGCCGCATATTACTCTAATTGAGGAAAAGGCGCCAGGAAACATAAATCAAACTGGCGCATGTTAAGTAACTAATAGCCATTATTAAATACTATTTACTGAGGTGTATAATGTCATTTCATATCAACATTAAAGGGAAGTCATCAGTGATACTGTATTTTCAATCATTAAGGCTCTTTATGAGAACGGCAGTTTATTTCACACGACAGATTTCTGTTTCATGAAGGGCACTTTAAAGCTTAACTCCAGACAAACAGCAAAATACATAAATATAAAACATACACGGGAGCTAGTTTACCTGTGATTTGTATTTCTGTCTACCCAGTCCTGAGATTTGCATGGCTCTGCTTAACAGCACAGCCCTGTCAAACATTGAAAAGGATCTGGTCTTTATTTGCTGCAGTTTCATTTTCATTTACAGGTTTCCTTTCCATCCTGTGACTGGACGGGGCAAAGAGAAGCAGCACATTGATGAGCTCATCTCACTGTGTCACTCTGCTCTCTTCTCCTATCACCATGCTCCTTGCACTGTAACACAACTGACTCACTCCTAGTGATCTTTCTAGTGTAGAGTAGAATGCAAAATTGTAATACCAGTTACATTCAAGTACTGTACATTGTTTGCATTTACAAAGACAAATATATTTAATAATGTATTATTAATCAGAGCTGGTTTAGTTTGTGCTTGTTATATCTGCCTGTATTTCAGTTTTAATGTCTACAAGCATTGGTAATTTAAAATGGATTTTGCCAAGCCAGCATGATGGGCTCTGTAAGTATCTACATTTTTTATCTTTTCGGTACAGTGGACTTTCAATGCAAAATGGAAGGTCCATTTTTTTTTTTTGCAAGCCCCAAGCTCCCCCCACACAAATGCTTTTAAAAGGTAATTTGTAAGTAAACAGTTTACTTACCTCTGCCCCAGCCTGTAATGCTTCCAGGAGGCAGCGGTGACATCATCACGCCTCACTGCCTCCTCCTGGGGCAGCTGGGCACTTGAAATCTGGTAAGAATGCACTCTTGGAATGGTCTGGAAAACATTCCCGTGGGATTTCAAGCTCCCAGCTTTGCAGGAAGGCACAGTGACATCACCTGGGCCTCCTGGACGCTTTGGAGGCCGGGACCAAGGTAATTAATTTGTTCCCCAGCAATCTGTTTGTAAATGAATGACTTTATAAAGCTATGTGTGTTAAAGGGGAAAAGGGCTTGCAAAAAAGCAGACCTGTTTAGTCTGGAAGGACCGCTTTCGGGCATACTACTGTCCAAGACTTTCTTAGCCTTGGGCAGTTGAGTTGATTTATTAAAGGAATAGAGACTGCTCACTTAGCAAATGTAATGTTCACTGAGATGAAGATATGTTCACTTAAATTAAAAAAGAAAAAGTTTTCATGATAGAGTGGTGAAAGATCAGACCCTTTGTAAAGTGTTTATTGTTATTTGAAGGGTTAATAAACAGGGGTTCACCTGCTCTGTTATATAAAAACATATTTTCCACCAACATACACTCTCTCTCCTGTAAATGCTGACAAAGAGACTATCAAAGAAACTTCAATAGAAATCAGTCTATGAATCAAATTAACAAAGACTTCGTTATATCTCTTGGATTATTACAAATATGTATGGACCTCATCAAAAAAGGGGTCCATTAGATAACATCACCACCTATAATAACCAATCAATGTAAAACGTGTTTGCATACATATAAATACATATGTGGACTGTACAGGATGCCAGAAGATGGCTACTGGGAGAGTTTTATATTTCCCTTTGTTCAGGTTGTGGTCCCTTTAAGGGATAGAAATGGGTTAACACCTGCTGCAGAAAGTGGGCTCAAAGGGTGGGGGAGAGAGAGAGAAAGAGAGGGATAAAGATAGAGAGGGATAGAGAGAGAGGCAGAGAGAGAGAGAGGGAGAGGGAGGGAGAGAGAGGGAGAGGGAGAGAGAGGGGGGCAGAGAGAGGGAGAGGGGGGGATAGAGGGGGGGGGAGAGGCAGACAGAGAGAGGGGAGAGAGAGAGGGATAGAGAGAGAGGCAGAGAGAGAAGGGGAGAGAGGGATAAAGAGAGAGGGGGAGAGAGGGAGAGAGAGAGAGAGAGGGAGAGGGAGAGAGAGGGGGGCAGAGAGAGGGAGAGGGGGGGATAGAGGGGGGGGGAGAGGCAGACAGAGAGAGGGGAGAGAGAGAGGGATAGAGAGAGAGGCAGAGAGAGAAGGGGAGAGAGGGATAAAGAGAGAGGGGGAGAGAGGGAGAGAGAGAGAGAGAGGGAGAGGGAGAGAGAGGGGGGCAGAGAGAGGGAGAGGGGGGGATAGAGGGGGGGGGAGAGGCAGACAGAGAGAGGGGAGAGAGAGAGGGATAGAGAGAGAGGCAGAGAGAGAAGGGGAGAGAGGGAGGAGTAAGAGAGAGAGAGGTACTGATTAATGTATGCAGACAAGGCTGTGGAGCAGACTAAAGTACTGGTGCTGTGAACTTTACTGGGAGGCTGTGGCCTGAGAGAAACTCTAAGGTTAAGAGTGTGATAACCTTGTGGACTGAAGCCATCCAAACCGGTGATGCTACTGTTATTATTTTGTGCTGAAGAAAGCAAACGGTAATATCTGATAAAGCCTGTGTTCTGCGGTCCAGCTAATTTCCCAAACATCACAGGACCCAAAATAGCAATTGTATAAAAAGTATATTCAATAAATTAAGTCTTTAAAGTCTTTATTTTCTTGCTCATAATTAAACATATAAATTGTTATAATGTCCACAAAGAAGGTCAGTAATTTACTCTTTGGTTAAGAATACAGTCCTAATAAATAGGATGATATGCAGTACTTAGCTTGCCACTTGTACTCCAATAGTTGACGACCTATGGATAAGTAACAGCTAAGGGGTTTACAGTACGTGCGTCACATCCATAGGTCCTTTACTACTGGAAGGTCATTCAAATCAAATAGGCTGTGACATAACGCACATTAATGTGCGTGCAGTAACATAAAGCAAAAATGTGTGTACACATGAAATTCTGATTATTTCTTTTTTGCTATAATTGCTTCCAAAAAAAAATTAACTAAAAGCATAATATTTTTACAAGACTGTTTGTTGTTTATGCCTACCGCCAAAGGCAAAAAGTATGTGATTCTCGAGCAGCCTCTATTTCTAAGAAACCGGTCAATGGGGTATTTACCAAGAGACCACCTGAGGTGCCTGCATCACTCACATCCAGATTACATACAGCCCCTTTGGAGTCTGCCCTCTCCAAATTCCATTTGTGCGCTCTAGAACGAGTCTTTTCTAATTTGGCATCCATCTTAGAGCGTAAATGTTTGTTTTAATCAAGGTATTTATACATATGTCTGCTGGTGCATGTTTGTAGATAAATGTATTGCTGTGTGTGCCATGCCAAAACGGAAGTGCCCCAGCAAGTATGACAGTGAAAGGTATGAGAAGCAAAATAATATCGTTGCTTGCCAAAGGAATCACACGAAAATCAGTAATTCCTTGGGAAGAAAAGCTCAATATTGTTAATGTTTTCTGAAAGAACTATTGTTTTCATCCAAGAGATCGCATTTCTCCTAATTTTTACAGGAGGAGCCCAGAAATCGAGAAGACCACCAAGTTTTGAATTGTTTATTAGTGACTGTCTGAGTTACTGCCCTTTGGCAAAAGGAAACTTCCCCAAAACTGCTAATAATTGGATAGAAAACATAAATGGAGAGATTGAGTTTCCGTTGCACTGTAATGTCACTAAATGAATCTGCTCCATTGTCGCTACGGAAGCTTCCAGCTGCTGACGCGGCCGTGATTGGACAGTGCAATTAAAGGTCTAAATTATTCACATAATCCTAAGGGGAGGCTCCTTAAATGTAATAATTAACGTCTTGTTGACATTAGCTGAGGAATGCTATTTCAAGTTTTTTCTTCCATGTTTGACACTTCCTCCATTTGCTGGGTAAATATTTGGGGCCTTGTAGATGTTTCAATCGACATTTTGATCGTTCTGGTGATATACTCAGCTACTTGTTACAGCTCCTGTGCCTAGGATTGTTGCCATGTTTAGGAATAATCTCCGATATTACCAATAGGATGAAACGCAAACTTGAAGATCAAAGATAAATACTGTTGTACGGCTACCTTAGCTGTTACAATACAGAATAATTCATGCTATTATTTGATGGTATTTAAATAAAATATGCAAATAGTTTTAAACTAAATGAAAACTTCTATACTGTTAATATTCTCAACTGGTTGAAGAGCCAAGGAGCAATGTATAGCCCGCAAAACATGCTAATCCTAATTTGAAACCTGAATATAAAATATTAATACATATAGATCTCTGTTGCATATACATTATATATATATATAT